ATAGTATCCATGTCAAATGAATGGGCCAATGTCCCATCAAAAATGTAAAATCAATACAATATGATACACTGGGCCAATATCCCATTAACAATGTCATCAATGTTAAATCATTACAATATTGTTCAATGGTCCAATATCCCATTAACATATCCAGGTACTAAAAATGTTGAGATTTGCTTTATCAATGTTTAAAATAAAAGTAAATGCGCAAATAGCGCCACAGATGCGCAAATAGCGCCACAAATGCACAAATAGTGCCACAAATGCGCAAATAGCGCCACAAATGCACAAATAGTGCCACAAATGCGCAAATAGCGCCACAATATGTCATACGAGTTAACAGCAGCACTCGTTCATGTGAGGTGGGGTTGACAATAACGCCACATGCTCGTAAGAGCATCCGCCACCAATGACTGTCACACAAATTGGTGACGGGTCGTCATTCCCCACCTCTGTCACCACTAACCAGCGCCATTTATAGTCAAGCTTATTTTTGCCCTAATTATTTAATTAGGTACGGTCATGATAAAGGTACCCCTTTTTACTTACCTTATTAATACTTCCCTTATTTATGGAAAAACACAGCAATTATTGGAACTTAAAGACAGCCAAATGATTTTGACCAAAAACATTGTGTGTTGCCTGCTATTGAATCGAGGCATGATGTTGGGATTTAATGATTGAATTTACTTAAGCGACAGACTTGATAATGTGACAGTATATTACGTATTTTCAAGGATAGGCAGTTGGACATTATATCCTCAATTTTTTCTACCTGATATATTTTGCAAGATCTGTGAACTATTTTATTGGGTATTTATGCACGATATTGAATCTTGTTCTAGGATGCTGAAAAGGACATATAGGGGGGGGGGGTAAAATGTACAACTGATAAGAATCACAAATTTTCAAATTTAAAATTGTGGAATTATTTGTAAATGTACGACTTGCACAACCGTTAGCAACCAAGTACAATGAATTTAAAAAACAACTTCGGATTACAGGACATACATAACAATGGATAGTAAAGGGAATATATAATATGACTTTTTTTATCGTTTTCTCGACTTTTACAGGGCAATAGAGGGAAAGTTATACTGTAGTGGTAATAAGTTAATTCAGTGACATAATCATATAAACAAGTCTTGTTTGTACCAACAAATAAATTTGTCGTAATCTTATCTAACATTTAGTTTGTATGCATGCTTGAACACAACCGAGAGATGTGCGTAGTGAGAGCACTTGTATTAAGAAATTACACTAAACTGTTCTCAGCATGTGAGCACCACAGGCCGTGGGCCTGTATGCCAGTGTATGGTATATATTCCCCCGGGAACGTATGTATGAAGAACTAATTAATGCCTCATTGTAAACGATGAGAACAAATTATGCTTATTGATTAAACATTAGAAATCATATGATTTGAAATCAGAATGCTAAAGAGGGATTGGTAATTAGTACCAATAATGGCTTACTGAGCCTGAGAGATATTATACCTATTTAAGATCTACACATGGAAATAGGTGTTTCCCTTTCTGTAAGATTTTCCATTCCCTTAAAGACGCTTATACTTAAAGAAGAAAATACCGGGTATAAAACTTGACCGATGTTTAAGTTACCCTTAAATAAAGTAGTTCCGCGACTGCACGTATAAAGTCCCTAAGTCCCTGTGTACTCTTTTCTCATCCCCGGCTATAAAGTGTAATGTATAATCGTTCAAGTAACTTTTTACCCTTTATCCTAAAAGACGGCTATAGGTATAGCCAATTGACATGATTGCTTCCACACTAATTAGGCAGAGACAGTTAATTGCTAAGGGGATAATGTGATCTGCTCATGTGATATTGGCTACCCTAAGTTAATTATATATATATATATATATATATTTTAAACGTATTACTATTACAAGGCCATTGTTGCTAAATATGTCCTAACGAATATACGTTGAGCCTAAACGAAATCGCCATGATGTTCGGTATTTATTTTAACATGTAAAGGGAGTCATATTCTAATGGATTCACCCCCGATGTCGGTGAAAAGCTGTAGAGTATCACGAAAATTCCCTTCAGTATCATTCTTTAAATAACCCCATTGAAGTTAGTTGGAATTAATCACGTATGAATGTTTAGTTATCTAGCTTTAGTAAGGCCTGGTTGATGCACGGCTACCCGGAATGGCCCTTGGGGGGGGGGGGTGTTCTGATAAGATTTGCGTTTTGTTGCTGTGAATCGAATTTACATAATCTGTCTATTTCTAGCTCCAAGAACCCTAAACATGTTGTGAATCCCTGGGCTTTATCCATTTGAAGATGTACAAATGTGTATGTATTTGAGCACACAGACAAGTGTCTGCCCAACCTGCAAAAATATTGATATTTTAATATAGACAAGTGATGTGTTGTACCTTAACCAGCTTATTATTGTAAACGACCAATTACACTAATGTAGAGAATGTATAACATATTATAATATGGAAACAATAGTATATTGTCTATGGATTAGGCTTCCCTAAAATAAAGTCCTAATAGCTTACATCCCTATGTATAAATACCAGTATATACGTTTGCCCTATCTGTTTTAGATTTTTAGAGAAAATGGTGCTGCAAGTCTTCGAAACATGACATCAACTGTGTCGAAAATTATTCAGTGTTAACTTGGGTTTATGTGTGCGTTAATGTTAAATGGAAGTGGGTCGGTAAAATAAGTGATCGAACGCGAGCAACCATAATCTTGAGCATCGTCCCGGTTGGGGATATTTTGAGGGATGGGCGTTTGTAATCAGGTCAAAATTGATACCCCTGACTCAACTACCCCTTACTCTCACTTGCCCGGAAAAACGTCCCCATTTTGATTTTCCGATACGAAGTATGTTAGTTCTTGTCCCCGTTTATAAATTAATAAGTTAAATTCTGATTTAAAATCTTTTTCCACAGCATGGCACGACTGCTCGTTTTAATCAAGAAGACAGTAAAGGCGTTGGTTATGAGATTTAAATGACTTTCCATGTTATGCACTTGCGTTGACCTTATGCAAGTGTTAGACTGACACATGCTATATTCCATGCACCTGTGAACATACGGATAAGTTTTCCTATTATTATTTCTTATTTTTATTTTGGCCTAAGAAGGCCACTTATTCGTGACCACCCCTTACCTAAAGGTATTATGTCCCTTGTCTTTGCTTGTACGTTTCCAAAATTTTAATTGAAATTATGTAACAAAAAAAAAAAAAAGAAAATAAATAAATAAATAAATAAATAAACAAACTTGTGTCTATTTATAGCAATTTGTTTAATAGAATTTATTTTATGAATCAATGTATAATTATATATTTCTAAAGAACGGCTTGTGTAATCTAGTTAGCATAAGACGTTATTATTTCAGCCTAAGAGGGCCACTTACTTGTGACCACCCCAACACGAGGCAGTGATTGGATAAAATATTTAAATGTATGGTTTTTCATCGAAGTGATTTAAGCAAGAGTTATTTCCCCACGGTCGGCATTTTGTGTTGTACTGTAGGTCGACATTCCAAGCTTCCTGGCTTCATTACATTCTAAGTTAAATTTGTTACTCTGGGCACCGAAATTACATTTTCGTGATGAAGATTGAAGTACTAGTTTGAAGTTTTTATACAGGTTTGTGATGATACATTTGTACAAGCCGCTTTAAATTCATAGCAATATTCATTTGAAAATTAGACCGCTATATATAGGCTTAGTTTACCTTAAATCCAATGAAAATATGCGTAATCGGATTTAATCTTTCAGTGAAAAGGAACAAACATGGTCTATTTGAGAAGACACTGTCAGGCTAAACCGTATTTTTTTTAAAATATCGATCAAAAATTGAAATGATTGTATCGCCTGAACCAACCTACCCATGTGCTCGTCTGCTTACTTAGAAAGGAGGAAATTACGTCACGTACCAAGTATATATAGTCACTGTGGCATTTCTAACAAAAAAAACTGGTATGCGCAACCCGGATTATTCCGCGAAGCACATACTCAATCTAAAATGGGCAATGCACATGTATCACTGAGATAAAATCCCATATTCCTTGACGTTGCTTGAATATGGGTTAAAATATTGGCGCAATGTAACTGAAGTGCGAGTTATTGCCATAAAGACTTTATGGAAAGTTGACATAACGCTATAGTAGTGTGAGTAAATATCATAAAGAGTTGACATAATGTAATGGAAAATTGACATAACGCTTTAATCTGATAAATTATAATAGTGTGTGTAAATATCATAACGAGTTGACATAATGTAATGAAAAGTTGACATAACGCAATAGTAGTGTGTGTAAATGTCATAAAATGTTGACATAATGTAATGGAAAGTTGACATAACGTAATAGTTGTGTGTGCAAATGTCGCAAAGAGTTAACATTATGTAATGGAAAGTTGACATAACGTAATTTTCTACCCGCGGATTAAACAGAAATTGAGATTCCGCGGAATAAGCGAGTTCGGGACATAATGTACATGTAGAGCTCAGAAGACTTATAGTCAGGATTTTTTTTTTTCAGTTTAGGGTCTACATGTAACCATATAGCAGCTATCTTGTTTAAAGTGGATTTTGCATGGCAGCATGGTATGACACAGAAAACATGTACATCTTTACCTTGCAAGTGGAATGTGCCATCTTTGCTAAAAAAGCATAAACCCATATCAGAATTAGAATGGCGCAAACCACATTACAGTAAGAAAGGTATATATAAAAACTGAGCATATTGAATGTTCTTCAACTTGAATGTAAATAAATGAAACAGCTTTGTGACAATTTATTTCCATTAACCATGTTGCATATACAGTAATATGCAATAAAAAATTGCAACCAAATCTGCTTGGTCATGATGAATGGCTCAATATTTACCAGAATTCTACCGTGCCTCCAGGATGTCAATAATTCTGTTCACTCCTGACAAAATATAAAACTTTGCTTATAATACGAAATTATATTTGAAAAAAAGATAATTCCACTTCTTATATTTGTAGATGAAAAGAAGACAATAAATCCAATGGTTAGAACTTTATTCAACCCATCAAGATCTATGGAATCACCGAACTTAGAGAGTTTGTTGCATGCACTATATGACAGCTCTCCTTCCTCCTGTGCTTTCCAGTATGCTCTTCCACTATCTACACCAGCTTTCTCTCCAGAGGATGATGTCAATGTTGGTACAGTTGTTGAATGTGAAACAGGGGCTTTCATACCTCCTTCCATTTCTTCACAAGGTATAAATTAAAATAGATATAAAATGTCTTAGGTATTTTTAAACATCTATTGAAATGTAAATAATGGGTCGGTCACTTATTAAATTCCATCAAGCCCGAAGGTTGTGGCAATGGAAATCTATGTTTCTGAGCAATCTAATTGAAATTTATAGGGGGTTAATTTAGATCCACTCGTATACTTGCTACACTAACATCTAACAACATCTCATTGAGTGTCACATCAGAGTTCAAATTCTATCAACCAATCAAATCATTGCCTGTAAAATCATTGTAAATTATTGAGCGTGTAAGTCTAGAGATATTCCAAATTTGACCTCTGACGTGACCCTCTATGCAATGTTAGTGTAGCCAGTATGCGAGCGGACCTAACCCCCTTATTTTAGTTAGATTGTGTGTCTGAGTAAGTTGTTTAGACTTTTTTCCATAGTTCTCACAGGACAGACCTAACATCAGTTTACTTAATATTATATGCAAAATTTAACTGAAATAAAAATTAATCTGCAATAAATCAACTTTTTTTCTAAAGCAAAAGATTGCAGTAGTGTAGATGAGCTACTAGAGAAATTGCCAACATTTACTCCAGACCAAGCTGAAGCATTGGAAAAGTCTACCAGAGGACAATGGCAATCACCCCTGTGGAAAGAACAGCGACACGGAAGGATAACAGCTTCTTTGGTATACAGAATAGTGACAAGTATGCATACTGCTGAAAGAAAACCAGACACTGATACCACTAATCTCATCAAAAGGTATTTATCAAGAAATATCCTTAGAAATCAAAAACATTTTGCTCCCTAC